GCAGACTTAGGCAGGGTTTGGAGTTTTGAAAGTCAGGGTTCTGTTCCACACTTTTAATCGATGAATCTAGATATTTAAAGGGGAAGGTATTTCAAGCTGATGCAGGACTATGCATACAGGGTCTTCTGCCCCTTCCCCCTTAACTTCCCTTACTTTCACTCCCTCCCCCGCCTCTGCTTTTCCACATTCTTTTCAGTTGCTTCCCCCTGCAATCATTCCCCCCTACAGGAGGCAATTTGGCTCACTTAAACTGAGAGTCAGGATAACTGGATTCTAATTTCATTTCAACCACTGACATTACTGTGTGACCCTTCCACTCTCAGAGCCCCAGTTTTCCCCTCTGTAAAAAGAGGTATTAGACTCAATGGTTTCTAAAGGCCCTTCTGACACACATTGCCTAAATTGCTTTTCTGTTCTGCCAGCAACACTTCTCCTTACTCCTTTCCCCCAACCCCAAGCTCCAATTTTTCCTGCCTTTTGGATAGCCTTGTTTCTCCCCATCCCACCCCCAACTGCCTCACCAAAACCAAACCACAGGAAGGAAAAGATAAGACAGTTGATTTAGGCATGAGGCAGCAGCTGCAGCAGTTATCTGACCTCAGCTCAAGTGTGAAGTCTGCTTGGTTTCTTTAATGTTAAATTTGCTCTTTCTAGGGACATCCACACCTGCAAAGGAAACACTGTTGAGTGTTTAGATTCCCTTCGAATTGGGGATTAGAATCCCTGGATTCCCTTAGATTCCCTTCAACTTTAACATTCTACTATATACCTCTATGAACTTGGTCCCCCCCCAGATCAGCCTCTCCTCCCATCACTCACTTTTTACTCTCTATGTGAGTGAAGAGCTGTTTGGTGCAGTGAGAATGGGTATGTACATGGTTAGCATGTATGTAGGTAGGTTAGTTTAAAGGGTTCTGTCAGTCACTACACATATGGCAAGGATGAGAAAGGTCAGCCTTCCAAGGGTCATAGCGCTCTAGATTCTGATATACCCTCTCATCTCAGGCACCCATCTGTTGGGCCCTGTCCCCCACAAGACTAAGGGTACATAATGAGAGTATGTAGGAGCACAGAAGTGTTGTCATGGCAACCAGAGAACTGCGAAGGGGAGTTGTTGTCAAAGTGACCAGGGGCAGGGGAAAGTGCAAGGGTCTTCTTGCTTGGCTAACTGATGGTGAGGAGCAGGGGAGAGGGAAGGGAAGAGAGAAATTGGTCAAGAGAAAGGGGATTAAGAGATGGGCCCCCTAAATGGAGTACCCTCCTTAACTCAATTTCTCTGCAATTTTTTCCCATTTCACAAATTCTTTCCCATTCTTCCCTATGTTCCTATTTCCTTTTACCATCCTCAATCTTTTCTCATTCCCTCAATTCTCTCTCACTCTATCCCCTTCCCCCATTCACTTCTCTCCTTTTTGCCTTATTTCTACCTATTCATGCCCAATTCTCTTCCCTTCTCCCCATCTCTCCCTTGTATTTCCATTCCATCCCCAAAGCTGTGATGACAGTCTTCTCCCACTCGCCTGCTGCGTCGGTGGGGCCCGGTAAGAACGCCAAATTGGATTTGAGTTTTACTTACATGCCTCCCAACTCGGGTGGGGCCCCCTCTTCCCTGGAGCCCCCTCCCTTCGGTCTGGAGTGGCGTCGCCAGCATCGGGGGATTGGACAGCTGCTCTTGGCCGTGACTCCAGGACTGGGTGGCCAGGCCCTAGGGTCTCCAGAGGGGGCAGTAGCATTTGCCGCCTGGGATGAGGAAGGAGTGGAGGGCCCGTGGAGTGGGAACGGGACCCTGCTGCTGCCCATTGTAAAGCCTCACCAGGAGGGTACTTACCTGGCTACGGTCCACCTTCCTCACCTGCAGGCCCAAGTAGCCCTAGAGCTGGAAGTACAGAGTAAGTGAGAGAGGGGACTGGACACTGGAATACCTGAAGTAGGGGAAGAGGTGTGGGACTGATGGGGAGCGGGGAGTGGGATGTGTGGAGAAAGTTTGAGTCCCTAGGGGGATTGAAGGCAAGATTGAACTGGGAGGAGAAAGGGTTCCTAGGGGCCAGGAAGAGGCCAGTTAAGGCTCCCCAGGGGGCGGCTGAGATGAAGCTAAAGGGCAGACTTGTGTTTAATTGTTCCTTGGTGCTGACAATCCACATACTCTTCCTGCAGAGCCCCCAAAAGTGACCCTGACCCCATCACCTGTGGTCTGGGCATACCCGGGGCAATCTCCCCCACAGCTCCTCTGCCTCATTTCCCATTTCTATCCTCCGGAGGAGCTAGAAGTGTCCTGGGAGTTTCGGAATGGTACAGGAGGAGGGAGCAGGGTGGCAGGTGGTCAAGCCTGGCGATCCAGCTACCGCTATCACCCCGATGGCACTGTCAGTGTCTCAGCATACCTGCGCCCTCCCCCCGTCACGGTGGAGCAGCATGGCTTCCACTATATCTGCCGAGTCCGCCACTCCAGTCTGAAAACCAAAGGACTCAGTGCCCAGGTGTCTCTAGAAGTGGCAGGTAAGAAAGGACAGGGTGATAGGAGAGGAGGAAGCCTGTGGGTCCAAAAGGCTAAGAGCACAAAATCCCAGACAGAATGGATGAGATCTCCCACATCTCTTCTATCCCCAGGAGTCTCTGGCCCTTCCTTGGAAGATGGAGTAGGGTTGTTCCTCTCAGCATTTCTCTTTCTTGGGCTGATCAAAGGAATGGGGTTGGTCGGTAAGTCTGTGCTCCTCATGCTCAAATCTGGGAACTTCCCCTAAAAAAACCTGGGGAAGCCTAGCACCCTAAAACTTACCCTATCACTCCTCCAAACAGCAAGACCCTTGACCATCCGGCCGAGATATTTATTCACTATGTTTTAAAATCCCACTTTCATTCTTTTCGTTTTTTGGAAATGTCTGCATATCCCCCTGCCCCTGCACACACACCCCAACACATACACACACACTTCACAGGCCTGGGGTATGTAACTAGAGTCACCATTCTCACCTCCATCTCTCTTCCACAGTGTCCTTCTTCTCTCCTTCTACAGATACAAAGGAAAAGGTAACTAGCTCCCTGCTGGCTTAGGTCTTACAGTACTCTCTCGAAATCGAATTTCAGTCCCCCATTTCATCTGGACCATTGCCCCTATAGACTTTTTATTTTTCCCACTATCAGTCCTTAAACTCACCCCACTCTATCCCCTAAAATTCCTAATTCATTATCCACTACTTACTAGTGATCATGACCTTGGACAAATCTTTTGTCATATCTGGGCCTCAGTTTCCTCATTTGTAAAACGGGTGTGGGTTGGACTCAGTGACATCATCTCACCTTTCCCTAACTCCCTATTGCCCATGATGCTGCACTTCCATTTTTTTTTTCCCATTCTGGCTTCCAGAAATCCCACTGAAAAAAAGATCCAGGTACTTAGAGCTCCGGCAGAGTCCTGGCAGACTGAGAAGATGGATGGGAGGTGGTTTGGTGAGGGGAAAATGTGTTTGTCATGAGAATAAAATTGGATTAGAGGAATAGTTCCAGTTGTGGTTAATACATCCTCTCTGCCCCACATCTCTTCAATATTCTTAACTACTGAAGTTTAACTAGGATTTTTTCACCTAGAGCAAAACCAGTAGAGACTTCCCCCTCAAGAGGAGGTGGGGGAGTATGGTGCCCAAGGACTAGGGGTGTGTGTGTGTGTGTGTGTGTGTGTGTGTGTGTGTTCTGGGGAGCAAGAAAGACTTCCAGGAGCTTTTGGCAGAAAGAGGAGACACTTCAAGGTCTGAGTTGCTTCCACACCTTGGGAAGGGGGTGGACACACTGGAGAGTCCTAAAGAGGCCCCCAGGAATTCAAGTGACTGAGGCCAGGCTATACAAGGAGGGGGATTAGTTTAGCTTGATCCAGGGCCGAGGAGACCTGGCACCTGGAACTCCAGGGATGGTACAGGAAGTAAGGAGGGGCTTCGATTCATCAGTTGTGACCCCAGCAGAAAGAGGGGCCGGGACGATGAACCCGAGGTCTTCTGGGGGAGCTGCTGTGGTGGGAGAGGACCTGTGACTTCCCCTCCCTATCTTCCACTAGCCGATAACTCTGCTTTCTCTTAGCCCGGGAGAGCTTTCTCCCTTGTCTCACCATTATTTTGGGGTTCAGCTCTGGAAAGGACCGGTCGCCAGGATACGGACTTGTGTACCTGGGCTCCCTCTTCACTGCAGCACCCTTTCTTCGCTGGGCATTAAGGCGGCTTGGGGGAAGGGGGCTCCTTCATTCTCAAAGCAGGGTTCGCAGGATCCCCAATCTTTCCCATTCCCCTTACACGCTGCTATCTCCTCCCTCCTCAAGTGTGTGTGTGGGTTCCAGCTGGTAGAAGACTGGCGCTAGGATTCTGGCCCCCAGACTTCGGTGGAGAGAAAGGGACCCCATGTGCCACCGCCAGGACCAAGCCCTATCTTCCCCCGCCCGCGTTACGGTTCTGCCGCAGCCACTCCCTTGCAGGTACCCACTAACATCAGATACCTGCAATTCCTCAACAGCGTGCATGTTTGAAAAACAGGCACAGAGTGGAGGAACCCAGGAATACGCGCCCCAAAGAAGGAGACTCGGCCCAGGAGAGCATAAATCCCGGAGCCTAGGGATCCGGAACAGGATGTGGTAGCTTACCCGAACGTTTCCCTCACCCCAAACCCCGTGAGCCTCGTGGAAAACCCGTACTGGATTCCATCTCTGCCCTATTCCCTAATGAGAGAGAGAAAGAGAGGTGGCGCGGATTAACGGGAGACAGTGCGCGTCTAGAACGCTTCTGGCTCGGAGGGGCTGCAAGGACTCTTGTCATTTTTCCTGTGGGAGTGGGGTGTAAAAACCAGAAGTTGGGGGCTGGTTCCCCAGAGAGGAAAGGCTTCGTGGCTGGGGGGGAGGTCTTGGGTGCCTGGCTATCTGATGCGGTGACACCCTCCGCCCACCTTGCACCCCATGTCCGGGCTCTCTGCACACACTTCCCCCTCTCGCCTCCCTGTCCTTTACTTCCTTCCCTATTTGACTCCTGCCCTCTGAGCGGGCGGACGCCTGCAAGGAGTAGGAGGAGCGGAAAGGGAGCGGGGAGGGGGGGGGACGGAAAAGACAGGGAGGGGACTCGGGGCCCCGGCCTGAAACTGACGGGAACAGCTGCCCCGAGGCCCGCGCCGCCCCTGCCCCGCCCGGAGCCAGGTCAGAGCCCCAGAGCCCCCCTCTCCGCCCAGAAGCTGTCCCCTCCTCTGGGTCGGCCCCCAAACTCTCTCCGCCCTCCTCCCGCCAGATTCCCCACATACCACCCCCTACACAAGTCTCTTCCCAGCCCGCACCCACCCAAGCCTTGCGCTCTGGTCCCCTACTCCGACACAGCGTCCGCCTGCACTGTGTGGATCCCCCCGGATCCCTGCAGCCAATGAACTTGTCCACCCCGCGCCTGGCTCGGACCCTTTGTCCTCCCTCCCCAGCCCCTCCCTGGTGGTGCTCCCCCACCTTCCCCCCACCTTGACGCCCCTCCTTCCTTGTCTCTTCCCAGGCGGCCCCATGGCTCGACCCCGTTGACTCCCTAAGCCCTGATCTCAGCCATGCTCCCCAGGCCCCTGCGGCTGCTGCTGGACTCGGCAGGGGCCTCTCCTGGGGGAGTCGTGCTGAGCGGCTTTAGGAGCCGGGACCCCGAAGGGGGCGGGGGCCTAGGGGTGGGCGGGGAGGAAGAGGAGGAGGAGGAAGAGGAAGAGGTGAGACTTGGGGGTAGCTGGAAGGCAATGTGTGCACGATAAAGTGTTCCATTATGTAGGTCTGTTCTCTCTCTCCCCCGTGTCTACCTCTGGTTCTCTCTCTGTGGCTCCATCTCTAGGCTCTAGGTCCCTGTCTGTCTGTCTGTCTGTCTATCTGGCAGCCAGCGTGTCGGTCTGCTTGCCCACCTATCTGCCTGCCTACCTGTACCCCTATCACTTTCTCTCCTGCTCCTTCTCCCTCCTGCTCCTGCTTCTGCTCCCTCCATGTCTATCTGTCTGTGTCCCTTTGCCCAGCTGGTGTGGTATCTGTCTCCCTTGTTGTTGTTTTGGGAGGAGGGGTTTGTTTCTACAGTAACCTGATCGTCTCGCTCTGGGATTGGGAAGGAAGCCCTCAGATTTGTGACCCCTCCCCTAAGCCTTGGGGAAAAGCCTAGGGGAAAGGCCGGGGAGCTTCCTCTACTGGGAGGGGTAGAGCTGAGGCCTGCTGCTGGAGGTGGAGGTGGAGGTGGTGTGTGCCTGGGTGGTGGAGTGTCAGGTGCCAGAGTTTCTCTGGGGGATTGAAGGTGGTGACCAGGAGCTGTGTGTGGGGCCTCAGGGCCTGCACTCCTGGGTCCCTGGGCTGGGTTAGAGTGATGTGACCTGCTGGGCTGGTTTTTCGGGATTAGGCGGGGGAGGGACTGGGGCCACGTGACCCTTGAGTCTTCTCCTCCCCCACTCCAGCTCCCAACTAACCCCACTTCCCCTTCTCCTTTCTGTCTTAGGATCAGAGCTGCTGTCTTGGGAAGGGGTGCTTGGGGGTTGAGAGGAGGGAGAGACAGAGGATGTGGGGGGAACTCATTGAGGGATAAGGCTAAGGAGCGGGGAGGGGACCGGGTCGTTCCCCAGACTCAGACACTACCTTGATTGGGGTGGGGGGGAGGGATAGAAGTGAAACTATGTAACTCAAGTTTCAGTTTCTTTCCCCCCAAATCCCCAAGTCTCGGTGTCTCCATTGCTTTCTGTTTCTTTACCTCTGTCTTGCCGGTTGTTTTGGGGTTCTGCTCTGGGAGGGAGGGGCCCCCAGGATCTGGGCTTGTGTACCCAGCCTTCCCCTTCACTGCAGCCCCCCCCTCTTCGCCGGGTACTGAGGCGGCTTGGGGGGGGGCTGCTTCATTCCCAAGTCAGGGGATGCAGGGTCCACAACCATTCCCACTCCCCGAACCCGCTGGTACTGCCCCCCTCCTCAGGTGATGGAGCAAACTTTGAGAATGAAATGGGGATGATTGGGGAGGCAGGGAGGCAGCACAGCCTATAGAAGAGAGATGAGTTGGTGCTGACTGCCCCCCACCCCTTCCCTTTCCAGGCCCCGGTGTCTGTCTGGGATGAAGATGAGGATGACGCTACCTTCACTGTCACAAGTCGTCAATATCGGCCTCTTGATCCCTTGGTGAGATCCTCTTGTCTGATTTCTCACTTCCTATGCCTTTACCTCCGTACTCTCCCACAATCTAACTTCCTGAAAATAGCTTTGAAACTAGGGTCAAGAGACCTGGATTCTAGTCTCTGCTCTGCCACTGATTTTACTATTTTGAGCAAGAAACTCTCTCTTTGAGCTTCAGTTTCTTTCTTTATACCCCCAATATTTAAGCCTCCCAAGGCACCTGGTGACTCTTCTGCTGACCCCACAGATATCCCAGAGTTCCTCACAGACCAGTTGCTAGCTCTTTCATTTAACAATTGTTTGAATCTATGAGTTCTGAGTTGTGGGGGGGAGGGAGGATGGAGTAAGTGAAGAGTCAGTGACCCCTTCCTCTCTTCTGCAGGCTCCCATGCCTCCTCCTCGTTCTTCCCGTCGACTTCGGGCTGGGACTCTATCTGCTCTGGTCAGACATCTGTTGGATGCCCGGACATCAGGGTCTGACGTGACCTTCATGCCAACCTTTTTGGCCACTCACAGGGCATTTACATCCACACCAACTGTACTGGGATTGTTAGCTGACAGGTCAGGGGGGATGGGGGATTGGAGTGTCTGAGGAGTCACCTGGCCAGAGAAGTCAGAGGCCACAGGGTATTTAGGGAGGATGGACAGATGGACTGCCCTCTCTTCCTTCCAGACTGGAGGCCCTAGAGTCTGATCCCAGTGCTGATTTGGAGAGGACAAGAGGGTGAGTGATCCCTGAACCTTTGACCTCCTGATCCCATTCCGCCCTAGCTATGGCTTGACCCCAGCTTGATTTCTTACACCAGGCTGATCCCCTCCCCCCCAGGTTAGCCATCTCTGTTCTGTCAACCTGGCTGACCTCTCACCCTGAGGATTTTGGCTCTGAGGTCAGGGGTCAGCTTGACCGGCTTGAGAGTTTCCTGCTACGGACAGGGGATGCAGCAGGGGAGGTTGTTGGGGGGGGACATCGTTGATCTCATCCGAGACCTCCGATCCCGGGTGGCCCTCCCAGCCCCTGACCCTCCTAAGCCCCTGGCCCCCCCCTGGCGATCCCCCTGCTGACCCCACGGATGTCCTGGTGTTCCTCGCTGACCACTTGGCCGAGCAGCTGACCCTGCTGGATGCGGTGAGACCCTGACCTCCGACTTCTCCCATCCTCCCCTGAATGACCCCTCACTAAATTGTCCTTTACTCCTGATCCTTCCCTTGCTTCTGATCCTTCCTCCCATAACAGTCCTTTTCCCTGTCTTTGACTTTTCCTACTGAACCCTGTCTACATCCGTATAAACTCCATGGCAACTGATTCATTGGCCATCTGAGGTCTCCAAACCCAAGATTACTGGAACATTGACCCTTACCTCTCCATGTCCCCTTCTCTTTGACTGCCTCCCAACTGTAACCTTTGACCTCTCAATCTGCCCCACCAGGAGCTGTTCCTCTCCTTGGTCCCTTCTCAGTGCCTAGGGGCCATATGGGGCCACAGGGATCGACCTGGTCACTCCCACCTCTGCCCTTCGGTCAGAGCAACAGTTACTCAGTTCAACAAGGTGGCTGGAGCTGTGGTCAGCTCTGTCTTGGGGGCCACAGCATCTGGAGAGGGACTTGAGGAGGTGAACATCCGGCCCCTCCGGCCCCCCCAGAGGGCAAGGCTCCTGGAGAAATGGATCCGGGTGGCAGAGGTGAGAGGACCTGTAGGGAATGCTGTTGGCACCCAGAGTGTGCACATAGAACAAAAAGGATATCAAAGGCAAAAACCACTCGGGGTGTTGGGGAGAAGGTTTCCTGGCCTGAGGAGTTGGAGCCGCTGGAGAATTCTGCATTCTAGACACAAGATAAAATAATCACTACCTTCCCACCCTTAACCAGGAGTGCCGTCTTCTCCGGAATTTCTCCTCTGTTTATGCTGTTGTGTCTGCCCTTCAGTCCAGTCCTGTCCACAGGCTCCGGTTGGCCTGGGGAGAAATAACCAGGTATTTGTGGGGGATGGATGCAGGGGCAGATTCCTCATCAGGATTCATGAGAGAAAGTTGGGTATGCTCCTCCGAGGAAGAGGAGGTGGTTTTAAGGGGTGGGTCCTGAGGATTTTAGGAGGATTGAAGACAAAGAGTTCTCAGGGGCTCTCCCCTTTTCCTCCTAACAAGGGACAGCCTCCGTCTCTTCTCCAGCCTCAGTCAGATTTTCTCAGAGGAAGATAATTATTCCCAAAGCCGGGAGCTATTGCTGCAGGTAATCCTCTTACCTCCTCTTTCCTTTACTGTTCCCTCCTGACCTCTCAAAGGCTAGCCCCCAAATCCCATCCTCCAGTTCCCTCCCAAATTCCTCCCAGTCTATTTTGTTTCCTCCAGGAGGTGAAGGGGCCTCCCCCGTTGGAGCCAAATACAAAGAAGCCTGTGAGAAATGTGCCACCTCAGGGTGGGGTGAGTGCCTGGTGAGGGAAAGTGACCTTGGGGGAGTAAGGAGGTCAAGTTGGTTGATAGAGACAGATGGACAAACCAAGTCCGATGTGGTAGCAAGGACACTGAACAGGGAGTCACACAGATGTGGGTTCAAGTTCCAACACCCATACTCCTCCTCTGTGAAATGGATATATAATAACACTGAGAGGCAGTATGGCAGAGGAAAGAGCTGGCCTTGGAACGAGGAAAGTTTGGGGTCAAGTCCAACTCTTGACACACACCAGGCAAGTCACTTAACCTCCAAGTTCATGACAACTCTTTTAGTGGTAGAGAAGATGCCAGCCTGAACTGGTAGATGGGGACTTTCCCCATCTGCGAGGGAATTCCCTATGCCACTCATAGTACAAATCCAGTCCCTACCCCTATCCCCAAAGACGGGATCTACCTTAGGATTATGAGGGAATATGTTTCATAAACCATAAAGCACTAGAAATATGAACTCACCATCATAATTATTATTAAAGGACAAAGTGATGGGGGCAGGGGGAATGTTCTGTTCCAAGAGGGCAACCCAGATGAGTGGGGAGGTAGCTAAACTGTGGTTCCTCTCTCCTGCCTTCAGGGTGTGGTCCCATACCTTGGCACCTTCTTGAAAGATCTTGTGATGCTGGATGCAGCCTCCAGGGATGAGCTGGAGGTCAGTGTGCGTGGCTTGAGTTGGGGGAGGGTGGTACATCTGTGGTGACAAACTTGTCAGAGTGGCTTTTTTTTTTATATGGCTGGAGGTGGGGCAGGAATTAAGTTTTAATAACCTAGGTCAAAGTTTTCGTTCTTCCACCTTCCTCCCTTTTTTTCCCCACCAGAATGGTTACATCAACTTTGACAAGAGGAGGAAGGTAATGAGGAGGGGGCCTAGATGCCTGCGCTCCCTGGGGAAGGGATGAGGAGGGTGTTGGCCTCGGGCTCTCTCAATCTCAAGGGTTCTTCATTTTTGGGGTACCTCCCACAGGAATTCTCTGTCCTGTCTGAGCTTAGACGTCTTCAGGATGAATGTCGAGGTTATGACCTTCGCCCTGACCCTGATGTCCAGCAATGGCTTCAGGGGCTCCAGCCCCTGACAGAGGCTCAAAGGTTACTGACTTGGTTAATGGAGGCTTGGGGAAGGGGAGAAGAGAGCCAGAGACTGGGATATTTAACCCTGGGGAGATATTTAGGGTAGCAGGCTCTGACCCTCGACCTTTGAACCTCCCTCCCTCAGTCACCGTGTGTCTTGCGAAGTGGAGCCACCCGGAGTCAGTGATCCCCCTGCTCCCCGGATGCTTCGGCCAACACTGGTCATCTCTCACTGGACAGAGTGAGAGGAGGGTGGAGAGGATGGGGGTTGGGGGAGGCTGCTTATATGGAATCACAAGAGTAGCCTCCAGAAGGGGTTGGTAGGGGGCTCTAACCTATCCAGCCCTTTCCCACAGTGTACTGGGATCTGTAGGTGGTCCCACTCCCCTTGTCTCCTGGGATCAGCCTGCTCTGAAGGAGGATGGCACAGCTGCCTGTCCTGCCCCCTTGCTTAGTCGACTGGCCCAGGTAAGGCCCTGATCCTGAACCTCAGTGCTCTTCTTCCCTCTGTGTGTCTTCCCAAGTCATCTTTCATTGACTTTATTGTGTCTTATCTGTCCCCAGCACATGAAATGGCCATCTGTTTCCTCTCTGGACTCTGCCCTGGATGGGCCTCCTTCCTCCCACACTCCCGCCGATCCTGGTTTCCTCTCCCCCACAGCCCACTCTCCCAGGCCCCCCCGAGGTCACCGCCGCTCTGCTTCCTGTGGCTCTCCTCTTAGCAGTGGAGCAGGGGAGGGCTCTTCCTTTGGGACAGGGTCTGGGAATGGGCGGGGAAGTGGACCAGCGGCCTCTGACTGTTGTATCATCCGTGTGCAAATGGAGCTCGGGGAGGACGGCAGTGTCTACAAGAGCATACTGGTGAGGGGAACCTGGACACTAATAGAGGGTTGAAGAGAAGTATGGAATAAGGTGACCCTGGTGGATTCTGTCTGCTGTTTTAGATTTTTGTAGCCATTTTTATATTAGGTGTAATCTTTTAAAATTGTGTTGGCCCTGTTGAATATCAGCAGCTACCTGACACATTCAGTGGCTATTACTGAATGATCAGAACTCTGAAGAGGTTAGGGGGGTGTTGGGGATCAGAGCATTCCTTGTATTAATGGGATGTGCGGTGAATAGCCCAGTGGGGATCACTGACCCCTTTTGGATCACCATGTTAGATTTTCCTCTACATATTAGTGTCTTGGGTATGGACGTTCATGTTAGATTCAGGCACTGGTGTCCAACTAGTGTGGTTCTTTGATTGCCTGCAGGTGACAAGCCAGGACAAGGCTCCAAGTGTTATCAGTTGTGTCCTGAAAAAAAATAACCGGGATCCAGCAGTAGCTGCAGAGTACGAGTTGGTGCAACTGCTGCCAGGCAACAGAGGTCAGATGTCACAGAGGAAGGGTTAAGACAAGGAGTCTTGTGGAGAGAAGGGCCCAATCATTGGGAACCTCAGTGATTAGGAATAATTAATTCTGCTTTTATATTTTGACCCTGGATCTTATGTCTGTCTTCTGATAACCATTCCAGAGCTGACCATTCCACCATCAGCTAATGTCTTCTATGCCATGGATGGTGCTTCTCGTGATTTCCTGTTGAGGCACCGGCAGCGCCCCTCTTCAGGGACTCCAGGTATCTCCAGTGGACCTGCTACTCCTGCAAATCCTCCCAGTGAGGGAGGAGGAGGCTCCTTCCCTAGGATCAAGGCCACAGGACGAAAAATTGCTCGGGCACTGTTCTGAGGAAACCAGGTTGTTTTGCAGGAGCCACGGTGACTATGTTGTTGGATATTAGCCATGTTGAATGGTGGTAGCCATGATGAATTGGGACAATCATCTTGTATGGTAGCTAGTCATGGCTGGTCAGAAAAGAGCAGTCCTGGGTGTTTATGGTGCAGCTATGTTGGACAGCCACTTTGGAGTCCTCTGGCTATTTTGGCAGGAGACAGAGACAGGTTACTTTTCTCATGACTCCTACCTTCTGAGGCTTATTTGTGCCATACTGTCACCGCTGATTCTTTTCTACTGGTCACACCCAGAATGCAAACGGCCAGGGAAAGGCTTGAAAGGGGCATGGCCTAGAGGCTCTGAGTACCAGGAGTGAGTGGAGGGAGGGGAGAGAAAGAAGGAAGGTCTTACAGGGGCCCCCTTTCTCTCTATGACCCCACTCCCCCACCCCCCAGCCAGGGACTCCTGTACTGTGACACTAAAACAATAAACACACTACATGACCCCAATTCATCCTGGCTTCCACAATCTGTGTACCTCAGATGCTTATAGACCCAAGCCCAGGTTCCTGCCAGATGCCACATAAGGGTTTAAAATAAGAGGGTTTAGGAGTAATGTTCTAATTTTCCAAGAACTCATGTTCAGCCCACCAGCTCCACAAATGCTATCATTTAAAAAGCTCTCCTGTAGTCAACGTCCCATCCCCCAGCTCAGGCCCCATGTGTGTTGTCCTTACCTATAGTCATCCAGTCTTGGGTCTCTATCACCCAAAACTCATATTGTCTGAGCACCAAATAGCTCTCCTAGCTGCAGATATGAAAAAGGAAGTTTTAAGGACAAGCTCTAGTGTACAACTAATGGAACTTGTAATTCTAAAAAGTAACAAAGTAAAAAAGTTTCAAGCAATTAAATTCCAATTTCTGGATCACAGACCATAGCAGTTTACTGAGGAACTAAGGATGTTTGGACATGATAATACACACACCTATAGACTCTTCTTAAAGTGGTCTTACATACATATACTACCTTTTAGTTCAAGGGTAGGTAGCAGAAAGTACTAGAGTTAGAATCAGAGGACCTGTGAAAATTCATTTAACCCCTCCAGGACTGTAAAAATGGATTAGATAAGTACTAATTGTCATGGCATCTGAGGTCTGTCCCAAAATTTGATTCTTACAAAAATTTTGTGTGGTAAGGATAGGTATGTCACTAACCTTTTGGAGTTATAATAACATGGAATAAAATTACAGCCTCATCACACAGTGACTGTCATATAACATAAGACATTTCTTGTGTTTGTGGTAAAAAAATGTATTTGCCTGTCATCCTCAGGCTATGACATAAATACCTTTTTCCCTCCTATATGAATGGGGCTTCATCCTTCTATGTGAACATAATATCTGACTACATTAGCTAGAGTAACAGAATGGAGAGTTGAGGGTATGGGTGAAAGTTTGCAACTTAAGCTTCTAACCACACTTAGGATCCCCACCCACTAGGAAAGAAATGAGGTTGAATGGAAGGAACTAAGGTGGAACTATGATTGGTACAAGGATTGAAACATCCTTGGGGAGGGGCCAGGAAGGGAGGCAGAAGAATAGACAAAAGTAATGTAATGGGGTGGTTAGAAAACAAGACAGGGGTCAGGTATTTTCACATTTTATTTGCCACAGTGCAGGTAACCCACAGTCTTTCCCCACTTTATTCTTTCTCCAACTAAAAAGGTCAAGCCTTTCCCAAAGACCCTGCCTTGGCAGCCTGGGCACGCTGGAATTCCTGCTGCAACTGAGCCAGAGCCTCACGCTGTTTTTCAGACTGTTTCTCCAGATCTCGGAGCTGAGATTCATATCGTTTACTAATGAGAAATAGGGAAAACACAAAAAGACGATCACGCTAGCTGCTTCACAAGTTTGTTGGGGAAAAAAAAGGGCTTAGGACAACTGTACAGGAGTAGATTAGTAAGCTAATGAGGGGTCAATGCGGCTTATTACTGGGGATAGATGGAATTAATAGGGTGACAAGAAAATAGTAAACAAGAAGTTGAAGTATACGTGAAAAAGAAATGAAAATCATTGATATAAAATAGAGTCAAATGTGGTGGTGGGGAGGGATGGGAGCATGTGGCATGAAGGGAGGATAATACTTACATCTCTGCTGTGATATAGTCCAGTCTCTTGCCCACAGTAGCTCTAGCCTCCCCCAGTTCCTGTTTGACCAACACTGGGCCCAGAAGCTTAAACACCACATTGGATCCATCCAATAATGCTAACTCCTGGGGATGGAGAGAAACAATTGCAGACACAAAATGCCTGGAAATGCCTCATGGCTCCTGGATACCACTAAGCCCAGTCTCTTACCTCTTTCACGATGTTATTTTCTGTCAGTTGTGCCTCCAGCTTCTGTCGACTAGACATAGACTTACTCAAGTCTGGGGTGGGAAGAAATGGGAAAGGAAATCAGGAGAAAAAGAAAGAAAAATGTAAAGAAAATTATTTAACTTGAAACACTGCTAGTCCCAATAAATCAAAGGAAGTTGTATTGTGGGTAGGATCAGGTGGAGATGAAGACATAAAGACAGAAAACCCTTGTGATGAAGCCATTTCAAACAACAGATCAAATTTTATATACAAAACACTCACTTTCCTTCCCTATACCACCATGGTCCTGGAAATGGAGGGCAGGAATGACAATCCTCATTTTACAGATGGGGAAAACAAGCCTGGACAGGAGAAACGACATGCCCAACGTGACACACTAAGTCGCTGACAAGAACCAGCACTCGAATCCGAGAGTTAATTTTTTTTTTAACCCCCTTCAGGAGGTGGAAATTTGGACACTGGCTGGGTGGTATGGAGAGGTTTGCTCTGGGGGTCACTTTGGAGGATTCCCTGAATGGCTGGCAGAGAAGCATCGAGTCTGCCAAGGCGGCTCTGAGACCCTCTTCACTCACCCTTTTGGAGTTGTTGGTACTTCTCCAATTCCCCCTGAAGCTTCTTCTGAATCACCTCCGCCATGGCGTGGAGAAGACCCTGGGAATCACAGGGAGCAGGCGTGGGAGACCGTCACTCCACAACCGGCTGCCTGGCACTGCCCTCTACAGAGCCGCGTGCCTCCTCTGGCCTGTCTCGGCCCCTACACGCGCCCCTAACCCTCCAGACCCGAAGAAAGACCCCGAGTCACACACAGCGTTCCTTCACTTTCTCCTATCACAGCTCGGGAACCCGGAAGTAGATGGGGATGCTGGGAAAACAAGAGGCACATGGCAAATGATGAGAGGAAAAAGGACAGCCTAGGAAAGGGGCACGCCGGGAAATGTAGTCCCGACATCAATACACCAAGGCCTGGCCGCCGGAAAGGTCCCTAGAACGGATCCTGCGGCGGAACATCAGCCGCAAGAAAATGCAAGGCAGCGCTGTTATCGATTCTCGAAGCCCTCCCTGGCTCGCCAGTTTCATCCTTCCAGGTGATTTCTCATCTTTTATCGCTAGTCGCAGTCCCCGCGCCGGCGTCCGACATCGCCGCCTGTTGATACAACTGTACCCAACGTGACTTCCGGAAGACAGCTGTCTTGGATTGGTGGCTAGTCTTCAGGCTCCTCCCACTCCAACTAAGACTTCCGGTGTCTTCCTTTGGGTGTTCGGGGGGCCCGTGGAGTGGAGTTTGCACGTGGGTTTTGAAGGAGCTTGGGGACTAGGGCGCATGGAAGCGGCTCCGAAGCCGGGCAGCGGGGCCCGGGTCAAGGCCCAAGGGAAGAAACAGGTATGGCGCGGCGTGCCTCTGCCCTCTATCCCGGCGGGGTAAGCGGGACGGACCAGGGACGACCCGAGCTGTGTGGGCCATCCTATTTCCTCATCTTTCTGCGTGGCATCACTCATGTTGTTGGTCTAAATCAGGAATTCTTAATTTTATTTGTGTCGTGCACCTCTTTGGCAGTCTGCTGAAGCCTATAGGCCCCGTCTTAGAAAAATATTTTTAAAGGCTATAACCTAAAATTCGTAACAGCTGGCAAAATATAAATAAAATTGGTGATGTAGTAATAGATGTGCGTCTTTTTTAACACAATAAGTGCTAATATAATACATTTAAAATATAAGCAAGTTGAATTCAAATTTTGTTTTTTAAAGATACGTCAACTTGAAGGCTGTTATTACTGAATTTGAATAAGACGTTAAGTTATTCAGTGGTCTTTGACAAGACAGCAGATGACATCCGGGTTGATTTTGGTTTTTTGTTTTGATGGCCACAAATGTTGAAAATCCATATTCACAAATTTCTGTTGTTGCAAATGGAATTAAAGTTTCCATTGCTTGCATTATAAGGGGAAGATAGCCTAATCTCAAGTAACACTAGAATTCATTTTTTTGTGTAGTTTTTAAAGTGTCTTTTTTTTTTTAACTAAATCTATAGATACCAGTAGTTCACATTTTTTGTAAGGGAAGCGTAAGACATAGAACAAATTTGCGTGACACATAAGTAAAATAAGCCAGGTTTTTACACTTTATCCAAAATTTTAGCACTTTTAAGTCTTCAATGCACAGGAGTCACATCGTTACTGGACATGATTTGGGTGTAGGTTGAGGGAGAGTCCAGCCTGGCCAGGTCTGGCACGGATCTTGCTGTTCCCTGCTCATCCCAACCTTGTTTTTCCAGAAGCCTCGACGCTACTGGGAAGGGGAAACTGATGGAGCCAGTTCCCTCTCATCCAACTCCTTCACTACCCCTGCCCCTCCCAGGGGGACCAAGAGGAAGGGGGAAGACCTGCTCCAGCCCAGGGGTGCCAAGGTACCTAAGAGGTCAAAGCAGATACAGGCACTCAAGTCAAACCAGAACCAAAAGCATCTGAGGTCAAAGCAGAACCAGAACCATCTGAGGTTAAAGAAGGATCTGAGGCCAAATCATAAACAAGAGCTGAGACCAAGTGGGACCTTATCTGGGGTAAGATCCAGGTTGGGAAGCAGGGAGCCCTTGTCCTTGGGTCAGTGGGTGAACTGGGAGAATCTCATCAGCCCTCAGCTGGTCGTCTTCTCATGCCCTCGTCACTTGCTGAGGTGCTTTGATGTGGATTTTTTGGATGGAAGGGAAAGAGCAAGATGTCTTTGGAGAATTAAGGCAGCAGGGCAAAATGAGAGTAAACAAAAGGCCTGGAGAGGAATAGGAAGAAATTTGGAAGAAAGAATGGAGTGGCGGGACCATTAGGATGCCTGAGTAGCCTTAATTTATGCCTGAATAACTCTTCACCCAGGAAAATCATCTTGGGATGCAAAGTGCTCTGGAAATGTGAGGCATTGTAATTAGTAAAAGGATGAGGGAGGGGAAAGACCATCTCTGATGCAAACATCATCTCATCACCTCTAGGCTCAGGATCCATTCCCAGGGCCAGCCCCAGTTTCCGAGAATGCTGTAAATAAGTTCCGAAGAGGCAGTTCTAAATTTGTGAAGGTAAGAAGGCAGGTTCGGGGAGGAACAGCTGAGGGTCTTAATGTCCATCACAGTGATTGAGAAAGAAGACCTAAAGTTGACAGTCTCTGATCCCTGATCTGTGACCTTTAATTTTCCCATTCCTCATTGTTGATTCACTATCCTCTTAGTGGCTGTCACAGTCATTGAGAAGGAGGAGTTAGGGTTTTCAGTCTCTGATCCCTAACCTATGACCTTTGATTCATCATTCCCTCAGAAGCATCACCTTAAGTTGGTGACTGAGCACAAGCTCAAGGCAGCTGCCGATGAAGAGGAGGAAACAAGTGTCCGTGCAGCCCGGGCTGAACTGTTGCTTTCTGAGGAGCCTGGGTAAGCGAGCCATCCTGGTGTGGCAGCTTCTTGGTCCACTTTTCAAAGGTCGATAACCACAGCCCCTTTGATGTAACATGTGTTGTTGTGGTCCCCTTCTCCCCCTCCATCCCCTTCTCACACCCTGTATCCTCAGTTCTGCTCAACCCTGTCCTAGTGAACTTTTCAGCGAGCCCTTATCCTTCACAGATTCCTGGAGGGAGAGGATGGGGAAGACACAGCTACAATCCGCCAGTCTGACATCGTAGAGGCTGTGGACATTTCGAGCGCGGCTAAGGTGAGGTTGAGGGCTGCGAAGGAACTGATGATGATGCAGAGAAGACAGCGGGAGTGTGATGAGCTGAGTGATTGGGGTTGGGGGGAGGATTTCCAGGCTTGGCTGGCCTCCAGAATGTCTCTGTACTTAGCACAATGCTTGGCACATAGTAGGTGCTGTATACATGCTTATTTCTTTTCCCTTCCCTTCCTAATGTAGCATTTTGACCTGAACTTGTACCAGTTTGGACCCTACAGGCTCAATTATTCACGGACTGGAAGGTGAGGGATTGGCACATAGTAGGTGCTTAACAAATATTGATTGATTGATTGATTTTCTCATCCAAGGGCAATGAGGTCTCTTTGGCAGTCATGTTATGCTACCTTTACCCACTGTCCATTTCTGGGTGGGGGATAGAGATTCAAGGTATCGATAACTCCCTCTGTGTATGTATTCTTTTGACCCAATATTTGAGTCCTCCCATTCAGGAGGACAGCAGACAATACTGTAAGCTCTGGGGACTGAGAGTTTCTAACACAAGGACATCCATTTTTCTTCCACCAGACACCTTGCCCTGGGTGGCCGGAGGGGTCATGTGGCCACATTTGACTGGATAACAAAGAAACTAATGTGTGAAATCAATGTCATGGAAGCTGTGAGGGACATACGGTCAGTGGGAGCCGGGGCCACCGTTGAGTGGGTGAGGCTCAGTGACATTACTAGGGTCTGAGGGAGGCTGGGTGCCTGACCCGTCTGGAGGTCATTTTGTGGTGTGGTCTGTGATTCTTGACTCCAGGTTCCTGCACTCTGAGACATTGTTTGCAGTTGCTCAGAAACGCTGGCTGCATGTCTATGACAATCAAGGGATTGAGCTCCACTGTGTCCGAAGGTGTGACCGTATCACTCGACTTGAGTTCCTGCCCTTCCACTTCCTGTTGGCCACGGCTGTGAGTGCTGGTTATGCTCAGGAACCAGGAGAAATTGATTAACCTTGGGAAATGACCTCTCCATCTGTGGAACAAGAGGTGTTTGGTGGAGGGTATGATAAAGGGTGATGGGGGTGGGAAGAGGCCTTGGTTGTGACCCTCTGTTTCATTTTCTCCACCTTCCAGTCAGAGACAGGGTTCCTTACCTACCTAGATGTGTCTGTCGGCAAGATTGTAGCATCCCTGACAGCTCGGGCTGGGCGTCTGGATGTGATGACCCAGAATCCCCACAATGCAGTCATCCATCTTGGCCACAGCAATGGTTAGTAAATGTTATATCCTGACCCTTTTCTCTATGTCCTATGACCCTCTGACCTCCCTGGACCCTGGATTTTTTCCCTGGCCGTTCCATAGACCTAATGTTCAAAGCTGGAAACACCTTAGAAATTTTTAGCTCAACCTCCTTGTTTTACAGATGAGCAATTTGAGAACTAGAGAGGTTAAGTGATTTTCTGAAGGTCACACAGGTAGTAAGCAGCAGAGTCAGGACTTAAAACCCATATCCATTAACCCGTATCCCGTGGTCTTTTTAGTATACCCAGTTGCTTGTCTCCCAGATCACATCTTGTGGCTCCTTACATTTCCCTTTTGCTTCTCGTGACCACTTTAACCTCAGATTCCAGGTATCATGACCCCTCCTGTGACCTTATCTGACCCTTTAGGTCTATCCCCTGTGAATTCCTGGCCTTTGTTGCCTCTGACACCTGACTTCCTGACCCCCAGGCACTGTGTCCCTCTGGTGTCCAGCCATGAAAGAGCCACTGGTTAAGATTCTCTGTCACCGTGGTGGAGTCCGGGCCGTGGCAGTGGATTCCTCTGGCACGTGAGTCACTTAATGTTAAGGCTCAGGTGTTTGAGACTTGGGCTTGAGGTTGAATAGGGCTAGGAATAAAGAGGGAAGGTGGGTTGTCTGTTACTTTGAAGGTGAATTATCATTCTTAGGTGATTTTTTTTTGTACTCGGAGGGTACTATTATAGTTAAATGTGATGGTCCATGAGGAAAGATAATTGTCCTTCCATTGTGATAATTGGCTTTTTCCTTCTAATTGTGGGGATACCTCAGGGCCCAGTCCTGAGCCTTCCGGGGGTGGGTGTGTGTGTGTGTGTGTGTGTGTGTGTGAGACAGTCAACTTTTAGGCTTAGCAGAATGCCTGGCATATAGTAGGTGCTTAATAAATGCTTATTGATTGATCCA